TTGTTAGTCCCGACGCGTCTCGTACGAGTCACGACCATATAGTGTGTCCCACACTGCGTGTACATGTGTACACGTGACGCCACGAGTACACGCCGCGCCCGCCGCCGCCGCCCGCGCGCGTCACCGCGCACGCCGACGCGCGACGCGATGCGCGCGTCGACGTCTCGCGCGTTCGTCTCGCGCGCGGTGATGCGCGCGCGCGTCGACGCGCGCGCGCGCGCGTCCTCGGAGGCATCGAAGCGCCCGAGCGCGCGCGACGGCGACGGTGGGGTCACGCGCGCGCGCGCGAGCCCGCGGCGGTTCGACCCGGCGCGCGCGTCGGCGAGCGCGCGAAGGATGCGCGTTCGACGACGACGGGAGCGTGCGATCTCGCGGGCGACGGAGGATGAGGAGGACTCGGGGGAGGGAGAGAGCGAGGAGTGGATGGAGTTGGACGTGGACGAGGACGCGGACGTGAGCGCGGCGGGCGGGCGGTGGACGACGGGTTCGATGCGAGATATGGTGGATGATCGGTGGGAAAACGTCGATCCGGTGCGAAATAGTGGTGATGATATCATCGCCGACACCGATGCGCAGTTCGTGGGGGGGGATTGGCTCGAGCCGACGTACAAAGAGGTGAACGCCCCGGTGGGGTCGATGTTGGAAAAGGTTCAACGCATGCATTTGAACGAGCCGTCGGACTTTAGCTTTAAGGATGGGGAATACTTTGATTTGATGGGATATGTGAAGCATAAGACGGATAACGAGTTCTGTCTCGTGCTTGAGGTGGCCGAAAGAGCGAGGGAGCGTAAGATTGAGCGCCTGGAGAACATGGACGCGTCTAGCAGCGGCCCGCGTCTGCCGCCGATTCAACAGGTACGCCTTCCCTCATCGCGACGAGAAAGAATCTGGCGATGACGATAAACGCATTGTGGAAACTCCGAGTCGCAAATCGTGCGGACGAACATGCGCCATCCATTTCCGTAGCCACCGATTCGGACTCTTTTTTCAACCGCGTGCGCCGCCGAAACCATTGAGAGATGAAACTGTGGAGAGACTGACCGAAACGCGCTTTTTTGTACAGGCTATCGCGGATCTAGCGCTCGAAATCGAGTCGAGTGGGGGTAAGACGTCGGCGTACCTGGCCATGCGTGAGGCAGCCGATCGTGCGCGCTTACGCTACGAGCTTCAACAGGCGTCGTGGTGTTGGGACAACTACTGTGAGGACTCCATGCGCTCGCTTGGCGTGAGCGAGCGCGCTGAGCAAATGCTCCACGAGGGTCAACGCGTTGATGAAGCCATGGACTTCGAACGCGAGCTCATGATGGAAGATATGGCTGGCAGCGACGCTACCGCTCGACGGTATTAATCTGAGCGACGTTTGTTTAGTTCGCTCGCATGCGCTGTAGTTACAGTTTTTTCATTCATTCATTCGATTTCGTGCCGAGCCTCTGTCATTCATCATTCTCTAACTGCGAGTACATCTCCGCGATATTTTCCTTGCCCACGACAATGTCTTCGTTGAACTTTTTCCACGACGCCACGTTCGTGCTCGAGGCATGGCGGTTGATTGAGCGCACCGTGCGCAGGACGCTACGAAGCAAATCATTGTTACGGTCGATCTCTTGCTGTACAGCGTCCGATTTGACGCGCGCCGTGAGCGTCTTTTCAAGAGGCGCACAGAAAGAGTCTAAGTTCGCGAGCACAGCGTCGGTGGAGTTGGAGGCGATACCCTCGCTGAGTTTGAGCATCGTGGCGTGCGCAAGCATTTTTATGTCATAGTGGTCGCCAAGACCGCTCGTTATCGCCGACACGACGTCGCGAGCGTTTACGAGACCAGCGCAAGAATCTAAAATCGTGTTCACGCACTCGAAAGCCGACTTACGACACTCGAATCCGTCGTCCACGGTGTGCTTGAACGCACCAAGATCATACACCTTGACGAGCTCGGTAACGATCGCCGTCTGCGCGAGAAGCTTGGGCAGGATGTCTGGTAAGATCGGAACGATGAGCGCGCTCTCGCGGTGAATCACCGCGCTTATCATTTTGATCACCGCCGTTCGCACGTTCACGTCTTCGTCCGAGATGGCACTCATGAACTCGGGCAGTCGCAGGTCTCCTCTAATCTTCGTGAGCTCGCCCTTGGCGCTCGCCAGCACGGCAAACTTCACGGCGGAGATATGAGTGGCCTTTTCGAGCGCCGACGCGCTCGCGGCGAATCTGTTCGCGATCTCCGGCATCAAGACCTTCGGATTCGACGCCGTTAATCGGCCAAGACACTCGGACACGACGTTCCGAACACCCTCTTCCTCGGAGCTCGCCGTGCGGTCGAGAATCGCCATCACCTCGTTCGCCTCTTGCTCGTTCAAGTTTCCGACGACGATGACCTCGCGAAGCGCCTGCAAGAGAGAGTACTGATGCTCAATGTTTTCATTAGCGAGCTTGGAGGTGATCAGGGGCAGGTACTTCTCACGATTCCCGACGGCAACTCGTCCGAGAGTGAGTGCGGCCGCGCCCTTGACATCGTCGCCATAACTATCAAACGCACTGAATAAGATGGTCTCTAGCTCTTTGTTCAACGACACGTCCGTGAGACGACCGATTTCGCCGATGCATAGAAGAGTGTACACGGCGTCGATGCCCTTTGCGTCCTTTAGCTTCGCTAAAAGCGTATCCGTGGTCTCCTTGGTCACCGCCTCACCCGAGGCGACGCAAGCAGATGCGACGCACTTAGCTAAGCTGTGAGCTACGAACTGACTGTCAACAGATTGAATCCCCGACGTGTCCGACAGTGCGTCGAGTAGTGGTTTGAACGTGACAACATCGGCGAGAACGAGACTCTTATAGAGCTCCTGAAGCGACTTCAACGTCTGCCTCTGCACCAGCGGCGACCGTGTGAGTGCGAGCGCCAATGGAAGCGTCGTCGTCGCCATGCTCAAGGCAGCCTTCGGGAACGAGCTCGCAGCGGCCGCGATGGCGCTCAAAAGTCCGGCTGACATAGTGGCGAGATGTAAATCTTCTTCATTGAGTAAAGAAGACGATTCCGTGACCACGGGTAAAACGTCTGGATCCTGAAGAGCTGCACTGTGGCATGAGACTAGAGCGGTGAGGGCGGCGAGAGAGCTCTCGCGCAGGGCCTTGTTCGACTTGCGCAGGAAGGTGGTAAACTCGCCGGTTACGGACGCCGCGACCGCGGAAAGATCGACGGCGCTAGAAGATCCGGCGATCATGGCGAATGCTCTCACCGCTGCCAATCGTGTCGTTTCGTTACGCGATCGCTCAAGAAGCAAACCGAGCACCCGAGATTGATCCTGCGTGGTAATCAGATCGTTCAACTTGGCCAAGATGACCGCGCACACGTGAATCGCGGCTTCTTTCACGTCTTGATCCTCGTCGCTCGAGTCCAGCTTTGAGAGCACGGCGTCGAGCAGTGATTTGATTTCGGTGACGTTATCCGCTGGAACCATGCCAGCGTCCTCGCGTCGCAGCACAAAAACCAAGGCGGCGCACGAGCGTAACGACTCAGCGACAATTTTGTAGTACTTGTCAGCGCACGCGGTGTAAATATGCGGCAACAAACCGTGGACATACGGTTCGAGCGCGTCGAAACCCTCTGGCTTGCAAATGCTGCAAATGAACGCCAGCGCCTCAATGCGAGCTGCGGTGCCGTAAGCCTGATCGCTGATACAGCGCTCGACAGCGCGAACGACTGAGTCTCGAGCCTCAGTGTCTCGAACCTCGGCTAATAAACCGGGGAAGACGTCACCGAGCGAGCGCAGGAGTGTGTACGCCGCGATCTGCGTCTTTTGATTCTTTGAAGTCGACTCGCGGACAATGACTCGAACGACATCCGTCGCCGAAGCACGCAGCTTGGCGCCAAGCTTTGAATCTGGATTGTGTTCGAGACATCGGCGCGTCACGTGTATGACGTCACCAATTACCGAAAAAATATCCAACTGCACGCTCGGTTCGCGATCTCTCGAGCGCGACAGGAGCTTACTCATCACGTCATCGTAGTGCTCGGTCAACGTCGACTCGGGCGCGGTGCTCATCACCGAGCTAAGCACCTTCGCCGCCGCGCGACGCACCTTCCAGCTCTCATCGTCATCATCCTCATCGTAATCATCGTCTTCGCTATATTCGTCTTCGTCATCATCGTCACCTGTGGCATCGTGGCCGTCCGTGTCCATAGCTTCGTCATCATCAAAGTTTGGATCGTGCGACACGTACTTGAGCGCTACCGCGATACGCGCGGCGGTCCCTTCGCTACCTTGAGTGCTAGACGAACACGAAGATACAATGCTCTCGATCGCCCGCAGCGCGCTCTCTATGTTCACGATGGCTTCTTCGTCGTAATCATCCGTGGCGGATTTGCATACTCGAAGCAAGATCAGCGTCACCCGCTCCGCGTGCTCGCCGAATCGATACCCCACCGCGCGCGCCACGGCGCCGAGCGTGAACGCGTACAAGTCACTCTTCCCCTTGCTCGCGATACTCTCCTCTAAAGACGTCGACACCGTCTCGACCGTTCGATCCAGCGCGTCGTCCTTTGCGTACGTCGACAACAGGGCGACGCACTGCGCCGCGCGCTTGCGCGTGCCCGTTTTCCCTCGCTCGACGTGCCCCAAAAGCGTCCTCTGCAACTCATCGCTCGTCTCTTGCGTCAAACGAACGTGCGGTGCCGTACTGAGCGCCGTTGCGATCGCGTGCACGACGTCCACGGCTTCCGCGGCGACGTTCGCCTCCTCGCCCGTCGCACCGTCTCTACCACCCTTCTCCACGAGCGCCGCGAGCGCCGGCGCGCACGCCCCCAGCATCGCCGTTCTCGATTCCTCGTCGAACGTCCCGATATCCATCACGATCGTCTTCAAACACATCGACGCCGCGTCTCGCCTCCCCCCGTCCTTCCCACTCAGCGCCTTGCACAACTCCTCGCACAACTCCTCGCACGTCTCTCCCGCGGCGCGCTTGGCGATCGACGCGCAACACTTCATCGCCAACCCCGCGACGTCCGCCGACGCATCAAACACACACCGCGTCACCGCCACCATCGCCTCTCGCTCCTGTTCGCTCGACGGAAACGTCCCGAACGACTCTCGCGAGATCTCCCCGAGCAAATCGCTGCACGCCATGTACCTGTAATCTACGCTCTCGCGCGCGCGTCGCGTCGTCAATCCTCGCGTTCGCGCATCCGCGTCGCGCGTCGCGATCGACGCTCTCGCCCCCCGCACCCTTATCCGGGCTCTGCATCTTCCGCAGCGCGCTCGCGAGCGACCCGCGCGTCGGGGCCGACATCGTCGCGCGCTGACGACGACGACGACCGCGGGCACGGGGCGTCGGGTGATGTGTCGTCCCAGTCGCCCCGGTCGCGAGTACCGATCGGTCCGATCACGACGACGACGGACGACGGGCGCGTCGGGTGAGGTGTCGTCCCAGTCGCCCCGGTCGGGACGTCGCGAGGCGCGATCGATCCACCGCGTCGACGCCTGTCGCGCGTCACCTTTCGACACCTTTCGATGTGTGTCGCATTTCACGTTTCGACGCCCCTTTTGACGCACGCGTCGATGTCCACGTGTGGGCGAACAGTGTACGCATCCGCGACGGTCTCCCACGGGCATCTCACGGTCGACGCACAGGTGCTCGACGGTCGACCGATAGGTGCTCGACGTCTCGTACTAAGTGGTCCACCGTGGTCCACCTGGTCCACCGGTACCGATCGGTCGGATGACGACGACGACGGGCGACGGGCGCCGACGTGGTGGGTCCGCGGCGACGCGGCGTCTGACGGGCGCGCGCCGCGAGCGCGGGCGACGCGGACGATGATGGGGGCGATGATGGGGGCGACGCCGCGCGCGGCGCTGCGAACGTGCGCGCGCGCGATGGATGGGCGGGCGACCGTGGACGCGGGGCGCGGGCGCGGGTGGGCGGCGGCGGTGCGACGAAGCGGCGCTCGACGCGCGCGCGGAGGGCGAGCGATGGCGTCGGGGGGGGAGGAGAGGGAGCCGGAGTTTCAGTTGATTACGTTTTTTCGATTCGCCGCGATCGAGGATCCGAGGGCGGAGGTTGAGCGACATCGCGCGCACATTGCGCGGAACGGGTGGGAGCTTCGCGGACGGATATACGTCAACGAGCAAGGGATCAACGCGCAGATGTCGGGACGGGGGCGCGAGGGAGAGGCGTACGCGAAGTGGGTGGAGAGTGACGCGCGATTTTCGGGAATGCGGATCTCGGTGTACCCCATGGAGGAGCAGGCGCATCCGCGGCTGGCGCTTCGATACAAGCCAAACTTGGTGCAGCTGGAGGGCGGGACGAACCACCTACCGCTGACGGATCGAGAAGCCAGGGCGAAGCCGTTGTCCCCGAAAGAATGGCATGAAAATCTCATCAAGGTGAACGCGGGCGAGGCTGATGCCCCGCTGCTGTTGGACGTGAGAAATGGATATGAGTGGGACGTAGGACACTTCCGCGGCGCCGAGCGGCCGGTGCAAGAGTCCTTCAGAGAAACCGTGTACACAAACGCGCAGGACGGGCTCGGTCCGCTCGCTGGGATTGACAAGAGCAAGCCAATTATGATGTACTGCACCGGCGGCATCCGCTGCGACGTGTACTCGACCGTGCTGCGAGAGCAAGGGTACACAAACGTGATGACCCTCGAAGGTGGCGTCCAGGCGTATTTCGACGAGTACGGCAAGCGTGGCGATCAACTTTGGGACGATCACCTGTTCGTCTTCGATAGCCGTCTCGCGATGGCCCCGGACGGTCGACCGAGCGCCGAACTCGGTGAAGATGCGGCGACTCTGCGATGTTACTGCTGCGGAGAAAATACGGCGCCGCCGCCGCATCGAAATTGTCCCAACGTGGACTGCAACAGACTCTTCCTCGTCTGTCCCGGTTGCAGCGACAAGCTCGACGGATTTTGTTGCGAAGCGTGCACGAAGGCATCGCACATCCGTCCATCGCTTGTGAATCCTGGGAGATACGAGAAGTATTCTAACTACGACAGTCCCGAGAGCCGAGCCGCCCGACGCGGTCCCGGTCGCTCGAATAGAAAGGTGCGTAGACGTCAACGTCGCAAGCTTGAACTCGCAGCTTACGTACTAGAGCACATGACATCAGTGGACGAAAGTAGGGCTCGTCTAGTGCAATCAACGGGAGGCACGTTTGCGGATCGCACGCGCAGCCTCATTGACGCCAGTCGGACCATTGTCGTCGAGGACGAGGATGACGACGACAACGATCAGGCGGACGAGTCGGACTCCGAAGAGGGGACAATCAATCCAGCTTTGAGTAGGTATAGCAAACAGCGGGCGACGCTGCGAGAGGCGTACGCGCTGCTCGCCAAGGATCAACGCACGCCAGAAAATTTAGTCGAGGCTGCTGAAAAAATTGCCGAAGAGCGCAAAAGGATGAAGAGATCCGAGCACGAGGCAAAGACTCCGATGATGTAGACGAATGCATGTGTAGACGGTCGTATTAAGATACATGAACATAATTTCGTTACAACGTCATAAATAAAGAATCGTAATATTCCTGACGCGAGGTATTATTCAATTTATTTCATTTTGAGACAGCGATGCAGTTGTATTGATCGGTATACTGAGCCGGTAATGCAGACATACTCGAGATGTTTATAATGTATAGAGCGCCACGAAAAAATGATATAAATCATAGCCTTTGCCGTTGAACAGTCATGCTCAACGTGCTCCCGCCGATTTGGAGAACGTGGCGAGCGTTCATAGCGTCGCTGAACTTCCGGAAACTGATGACAGCCGTGCTGACGCCGCTCATGACGTTATGAATTATTTGAGTAGATACGATCGCCCCAAACGGTGCAAACGATTTATATAAGAATAACTCATCAGCCAGGGGAGGCAAATTCGAGATGCACATGATGGCTCCCTCCAACTCGGTAAATGTCGGCGACGTTCCAAGGGCAGCAATTGCGGCGGCGTCTTCCTCCGAACCAGGCAATCCGAGCATGAGCTCGCTCAATCCATTGTTCGACGAGACTCGTTGGAAGCTCTCAGAGAGCATAGCGGACAAAGCGGTGCCGTCGTGCGCGGAGTCATCGATCCGCCCGTTTGGTGGGCTTTGGCCTCCTCTCTTGGTGTTCTTCCCTTGCGCATCCGCATAGCGAACGACGAGAGGAGGTCCGCCTGGAGCGATCACGTTTCCATTCGTCGCTTTTACTGCCGCCGTAGCCTCAGATTCGCGCAAAAAGCGAATCAAAGCCCCGCTTGATGTGCTTTTGTTCGCGTGCAGTAAACGACACTCCACGATATGTCCAAACTTGGAGAAGTACTTCTTCAAGTTGTCCTGCGTCCATGCTGGCGGCAAACCCTTGACGTAGACGTTATCACTCGGCGGCGCGGTCCCGTGCGAGTCCCCTTTATCTGATTCCCCGTCCGTGTTCGCGAACTTGACCTCAAGAATCTTCCCCGCGCACTCTCTGCCGTTGAAGCGCTCGATTGCGTCTTCGGCGCGAGACGTGCTAGCGAATTTCACGAACCCGAACCCGCGGCTCCTGTTCGTCGCCACGTCTCGAATGACGCAGCACGAAACCACCTCACCGCACGCCTCGAACATCGTCCGCAGCGTCATCTCATCGATCCGCTCCGAGATGTTCTTCACGTACAGATTGGCGTGCGGCCTCCAACTCGCGTCTCCGCCCGAGCTCCAGCTCGTTCCCTTCTGCACCCGCATCGACGACGGCGACGAGGACGCGCTATCAAAAGACCTCGGTCCATTCCACTCCTGCGCGCTCGCGCTCGGGGCCTGACCGAACACGCGCGCGTAATCCATACCAAAGTCATACGCGAGCGCTCCGGTGTGACCGCGCATCTCAATGTCGAGCGGTGAACTCATGCGTGCGACGCCCGCGCGCGCGTTCACGCGCGCGTGGACGATTCGATAAAATTTCTCGCCGCCACGCGCGTCGACGACGTCGCCGACGCGAACGCGCGCGCGAGCACGACCGCGTCGTCGAATGCGGGTCGTCGCGCGACGTCGACCGCCCCGTGCGCGACGTTTGGCGCCGAAACGGCACCGGCGTCGGGGACTCGTTCTCCAGTCATGACTCGCCATACGTGCGATCTCGCGCGTGGCCGCGTCCCAGGGCGCGTCGCGACGCTTTTTCCCCGCTCGTCGGTGAGTCGTGAGTCGACGTGTACCCACACCCGGGGCCTTCGTCGTACTCAACGACGCGTCGACCGATGCGCGTCTTTTCGAAAATAACGGCTGTCGATAAATCGTGCGCGCGGATGGTCGGACATTCGGACGGCGCCGACGCCGCGCGCGGGTTCTCGGGCGTTCGAACGCGCGGTGGGCGCGGCGGCACAGCGAATCGAGCGCGCGCGATGTCGAGCGACGAGAAAAGGGTGTTCATGGAGGTGTTCCGCGAGCTCGCGGACGGGCTCGTGCGGGATGAGGTGGAAGACAATCAGGTCTCGATCGCGGTGGAGTGGATAAAGCGCATGATCGAGTACAACGTCCCGCACGGGAAGCTCAATCGTGGATTGGCGGTCGTCGACGGCGTGCGAGCGCTGAAGGCTGCGAATGGGGAGGAGCCGAGCGCGGATGAGCTCAAGCGAGCGATGGTTGTGGGGTGGTGCATCGAGTTTTTGCAGGCGTACTTTCTCGTCGCGGACGACATCATGGACGAGAGCGTCACCAGACGAGGGCAGCCGTGCTGGTACAGGCAGCCGGACGTGAAGATGACGGCGATTAATGACGGTATTTTGTTGGAGATGATGCTGTACAAGTGCTTAAAGAAGTACTGCAAGGGTTTGGAATGCTATCACGACCTCGTGGAGTTGTTCCACGACGTCACGTATCAGACGGCGAGCGGACAGCTGATCGACCTCATAACCGCTCCCATCGGGATCGTGGACCTGAGCAAGTACACGATGGAGGCGTACATGCGCATTGTTACGTACAAGACAGCGTTCTACACCTTTTATCTCCCGGCGGCGTGCGCGATGCGACTGTGCGGAGTTAAGGACGAGGCGGCGTACTCCAAGGCGAATGAGATTTGCATCAAGCTCGGTCAATTCTTTCAAATCCAAGACGATTATTTGGATTGCTACGGTGATCCAGCCGTGATCGGTAAGATTGGTACCGATATCCAGGATAATAAGTGCGGTTGGCTCGTCGTTCAAGCGTTGCTCAAGTGCAACGACGAGCAGCGAAAGATCATCGAAGAAAACTACGGCAGAGCAGATGCAGAGTGCGAAAAGAAGATCAAAGCTCTGTACGTCGAACTCGATTTGGAGACAACGTACAAGAAGTACGAGGAAGAGTCTTACGCGGAGCTTCGCGAAATTATGGAGGCTCAAAAGGTGTTGCCGGAGGGCTTGTTTGGGGCCATGTTGGCGAAGATCTACAAGCGTCAAAAGTAAGTAGGCTTGGGGACGATTAACTTAATGTGATACATTCTGTTTCGTCGTTAGCTAGCGGATTCAGTAGTTGTCTAATGACATCGCGGAGGGTGGGGTGCTGAGGATGCTAGATCCGCCGGGAGAAGCGGCGTTGGCAATTTCCCGTTCGCGCTGCATGCCCCTCGCGCTCATGGCCTCCATGGCTTCAAATAGCTCACTGTGATACTCGACGACCGTGTCGCGCAATTCTTCGTATGCTCGCATCAGCTCATTCATATCGCGGTTGTGCTCGTCCACCATTTTCTTCATCGACGCCTCGATCTCGGCCACTTCCTTTTTGTTCATTTCCTCCTGGGCTTTATGATTTGTCGCTCGCGCCTCAGCGGCAGCGAGCTCCTCTTTCGCCTGTCGCAGCGCCGTCTCTGCGGCTTCGATCTTAAGCTTGCCCTGTTCCCGCATACGAGTCATCTTCTCGTCCATGGCTTCCTTCTGACGCTGTAACTGCTCGATTTTGGCGTCCATCTTCCACATCTCTTCCTCCTTGGAGGCGATTTCCTCCTCGACATGCCTGAGCTTCAACTTCTCTTCCTCGGTTTGCGCTCTCTTTTGCTCGATCGACTTCATAATCTCGATGGCCTCCCTTAAATCTTCTTCCATCATCTTCAGGTGTTTGACCTGTTCCGCGAGCTTCTCTGCCTCTTGACGCTCCTGTTCGATCAGGTGCGCCTCCTCACTCGCCGCGCTCGCCTTCTCCAACTCGAGATTCTCCATGTGCTGTCTCAACTGTTCCCCCTCCGACTCGAGGGACTGGAGTTCATTTTGAGCCGCAACTGCTTCCGCCTCCACTCGATTCGCTTCCAGAGTCGCCGCCTCGACCTCTCGCTCCAGCTCCTCGATCTCTCGAGCGAGCGCCTCTTCGTCATACTCAGCCAGCTCTCTCTCCGCCTCCGCGATCTCCGCCTTCAGTTTCTCGTGAAGTTCCAGCTCCTCTCGATACCTTCGCTCCTCCTCCGCCTCCTTCGCCAGCGCCTCCTCGTATTCGATCAACCGCTCCTCCCGAAACTTTGCAAAATTGATGAACGCGCTCAGGTTCCTCCGCGTCCGCCCGTACTCGGGCTTAAAGATATCCTTCAATCCAAAGTCATCTATCCCGCACCCTCGCGCCAAGTCCTGCATCGCCCGAATGAACGCCAGATTCGGAATCGCTTCCGTGTACAACTCGGGATAATCCAGCGTCTCCATCGCCTTTTCGTCCGGCGCGCAAATCTCCTCCAACGTCCTCCCGAAGAAGATCTCCACCAGCGTCTCGTAACACGGCCGCAGCGTCTCGTGCGCCGGCCTCAAGAGATCGGACTCCGTGAGCGGGACGTCCAGTTCTCTCAGGCACGATAGGATCTCCGAGTTACCGAGGATCGGGAACGAGTACGTCGCCATCGCGGCGCGAGTTCGCGTCGTCGGATGTTGGAAATTCAAACGACACCGACCGACGACACCGCGCCTCCGTCGCGCGAGGTCCGCGCGCGCGCTCGAGTCGATCGACGCCGCGGACGCGACCGCGACGTCGGCCTCGCGCGCGGTCTCCGCTCCGCGGACGCGACGTCGAGCGTATCCACGCGCGGGGATGTCGAGCGGGACGAATTGAATGTGCATTGCAAAAAATGAAAAAATGAACCTCGCCTCGAATCGCGTCTCGACAACCGCGCGCGTCGAACGGCGATGTCGATCGCGCGCGAGGACGGAGGGACGACGAACGTCGAGGGTGACGACGACGGCGTCGACGCGGCGGCGGAGACGACGCGAAGGGCGAAGACGCGCGCGCCCTTGGACGAGGCGGCGCTCGAGGGACTCGTGACGCAGCTGGAGTTTTACTTTGGCGATGGGAACGCGGCGACGGATCGGTGGTTGCGAGAGCGCATCGCGAGTGATCCCGAGGGGTGGGTCTCGCTCGCGGACGTGTGCGCGTTTCCGAGGATGCGGAATAAGTTGAAGAAACGGGACTGGCGGGACGAGGCGCCGCGAGCGGTGCGGACGTCGTCGAGCGCGATTATCGAGGTGAGCGAGTGCGGGGAGCGGATACGGAGATTAGGAAATGCGCCCGTACCAGAGGTCGATTTGGAGGAGGTGCAGGCGCGGACGGTGGTGGTGGAGAATTGTAAGGAGTGGACGGTTGCCGCTCTTCGCGAGACGTTCGAGCCGTGCGGCGCAGTGGTGAACGTTCGCGTGCGCAAACCGGGACGCGATGGGGTACCCGCGACGGAGAATCGAGGAAAAACGCACGCGCTCGTGGAGTTCGAAACGCCGAACGAGGCGAAAGAGGCGGTGTCGCGTTTGGACAATCCCGCGGACTGGCGAAACGGTTTGCGAGTGCGCATTCAGCTGAAACCGGGACAGAAGAAAAAGAAGAAACAGGTTGCGAAACCGCCCGCGGACGAGCAAGCGAGCGAGGAAATTGAAGGTGAAGAGAAAGATTGTGAGAACGAGAATCAGGGCGAGGATCAGGGCGCGAAGAAGTCGCAGAAAAAGAAAAAGAAAAAGCCCGATTACGCAAAGTGGGCGAGCGCGGCGGCGTTCAAAGAGAATCGAACCGCCATTACCGCCCCGGCCGACGGGATGGGTGAGGGCGCTTCCGAAGAGGCGCTAGAAGAGGCGCTCCCGAAACGACTGGTGTTGACCCCGCGGACAGCGCCCGCGGACGCACGACAGCCGAGCATGCCAGATGGTTCTCCAGGATTCAATCGCGTAAGGACGTGCACTCCAAAGTTTGTAGTCGACAGCACTACCGGTAGCGAAGAGACGAGTTGATTTAATTCCATTCTATTACTTGGATAGGCAAAATCGTTTAACCCACGCTCGCGTTTACGACGGAGGCGCTCTTAGAGTTGGCAAGAGACACGCACTGACCGGCGCTCGTCATCATAGGGACCCCGTTCCAGTTCGCGCCCTTGTTCGCGTCTGTTTTCAAATCTTTCTGCACTCCTTCCCAAATTTTCTTTTTCGCAACCTTATTCACGCCGTGCGGGGCGATGTTCTCTGCGCCGTCCCAGGTGACACGCTCTCCTGGAACCGCTCCCTCCGGAGCGGAGAGGAGTTCGACGTTTTCGTGCGACGCATCGGAAGCGGCGAGCAACATCCCGTTTGACGGCACGCCGCCCAAGTTACGAGCCTTCAGATTGGCCACGACGATCACCAATTTCCCAAGGATGTCGTCCTTGGCCATAAACGGCGCCAACCCGGAGCAAATTTTTCTTGGCTCGTCCTCGCCGCACTCGACCGTCTCCACGTATAGCTTCTCGCTCTCGGGATGATCCTCGACGCTCAACACTCGTCCAATTTTGAGTTCCATGCCCAATAATTCATCCGTGAGCTCCACCTTCGGCGTCGCCGTCGTTGCGGACACGTCCTCATCGCCGTCGCCAAAATCTGTCGCCACCGCCCCGCCCACCGCCGGAACACGCACGAACTTGCCGTCCCAGAACCGACTCCCCTCCATCATCTGTTCGATGTTATCGAACGTCACCGGTTCGTCATCTCGCATCCAATCGTCAGCCATCAACCCTTCTCTTCCCGGCGCCTCGTAATCGCCCACGCCCTCGAGGTCAATTTCCCTGAGCTCGCCGAACCACTTCACGATCTCGTGCACCTGCGGCGTCCACGCCTCCACCTCCGCGTCCGAGATATCCATCGCCGCCATCTTCGCCAGCTCTCTCAGGTCCGGGAGCGGCGGGAGCGGCGGGAGCTCGGACTCGGAGAACTGTTTCACCTTGGCGCCGGTGGACCCCTCGAGTGGAACGCTTTCGGGGTCGAACGCTCTCGGAACGCGCGCGCGGGCGTGCGCGACGCGTCCGTGGAGGCGTCGGACCACCGTCGTGGACGCGCTCAACGCGCTCGACATGCCGCTCGGGATGAGCGACGTGCGCTTTGAAGTGAGGCGGGAGTTGGACGGCGTGAGCTGGTGGGGAGAGCGAGCGCGCGGCGCGGTCAACGGAGCGCGGGACACTACGACGCGCGCGACGCGCGAGCGAGGACGTGTATTCGAAGCGAAATAAAGTGGCGAAAAGAGCGCGAGCGAGGCGGAGGGGAGGGATCATGGCGAGGATCACGCTCGAGATGTTGCGTCGACGCGCCGAGCACAACGACGGTTCGCTGCTCTCGCTGGAGGAGGTGGCGCTGCACCGACAAGGGCTCGAGCGATTGGAGGGGCTCCAAGAGGCGTGTCCCAGGCTGAAGATTGCGTTGCTTCAGGATAATTTGATATCGAGAATAGGTGCGAGACGCGTCGAGGCGCGTATTTCGTGCGCTCGAAGCGACCGCTGGTTGACTAACTGATGAACCGTAGAAAACATGCGCAAACTCAAGGATTTGGAGTATCTGAACCTGGCGATGAACAATGTGACGTGCGTGGAAAACTTAGAACAGTGTGAATCTCTGACCAAGCTTGATCTCACAATGAACTTCATCGCTCTGAGTGGTTTGATGAGCGTTAAGAGACTCGAGGTCAACCACAATTTACGGCAACTGTACTTGATGGGGAATCCGTGCGCCGATTTCGATGGATATCGCTCGTTCGTGATCGGATCCTTGCCACAGCTCGCGAATTTGGATGGTTCAGACGTGACGCACGTCGAGAGAATCGTCGCAAGACGCGAATTACGGCGTATCACCCAAGAGTTGGAAACAGCTGCGCGAACGAAGATCGAAACTATCGCGACCGTGGATGAAATTGCTTCAATAGAACCGGATCATCGACCGTGGTGCGCAGCAACGCGCGTGCTCGACAACGAAAATATTGAGAGTACGCTAGCTGATACGGTGCGGTCTACGTCGTCGTCGAAGACTTATGTGAAAGAGTCGTTCGAGCCGCTTCCGGATGACATCGCAGACGTCAAGCAGAAGAACCAAGGCGACTTCAAGTTCAGGCTCATAGAATCCGACGATGACACCGCGATCGAGCTCGAGCTTCACGTCGGTAAGTTTATCGACACATCTCTCATACTCGTCGATATTCAACCGATGATTGTGCGTGTCAAAATCAAGGGTGAATTACTGCAGCTCAAGCTCCCGCATGAAGTGAGTACCGATTCGAGCACTGCCGAACGCTCCAAGGTGACGGGAAAGCTCTTGATCAAAATGCCTAAACTAAATTGGCACGTGAAACCAAAAACTGCGATCGTTAAGGTGCAGAGTAGAGCTGAAGACCAGAGCGCGAAGGTGACGTACCACGGCATGGGATCTGACGAACCACCAGATGTTTGAGGCTGTCACTTTGGTAGCAAAGTAACTCGAGGCTCGTTGAACGAACGATCGGTGTGCGTGTGCTCGTATGATCCGAGTGGAATACACGTTCGACCATATTGATCGTTCATCAGCTCTCCGGCGCCAGCATAAAATGCGATGGCTGCTACGAAAACGCCCCATAGTGACGCCGCAAGCTTGAGCTCGTTTGAGCCGGAGTACTTCGCACCGGCGAGTAAGAAGAACAGAGTCGCGAGCGTGAAGAAGAGAGAACTAACGACGACATTCGTGTTGAACGAGCACAAAAACAGAACGAGCGTCAATAATGCCCACATCATCAGCATACCTATTTCTGCTTCTTTATCGAAGACAAGTCCGACTTCATCGCTTCTGACGATGAGCTCCCACGACGCCCACGAAAGCCAGAAGCCACCGAAGCTGCTGAAAGCGGTCGCTTGGAACATGTTTCCTCGTAGAGCGCTGAGAATGCCGGCGAGGAGCTGGACGAGACCGCCGAATCCGAAAGCGAAGCCGATCGTGAGCCCGGTCGCGCCTGGCACAGTTGCCCCAATGTCGAGCTCACGAAACTGCAGCAGCGCAGTCGTCAACGCGAAGGCCCAGAGCCCGAGCGTAGACATGTTGGCGATCTGAGTCTTACTGCCTCTCGCCAAGTCGCGCTCGAGCATTCTCAAACGCTTGTCAATGTTGCTCATGTTTGCGGAAGACTCCATGTCTACGACGGCCACGCTCCCGATAGTGAAGTGTATTGGAGGATTCTATGTCTACGACGCCTTCCGAGAGTGAAGTATATTACAGATACACGTTGTGTTTCACACCTATTCTGCATCGGGTAGATCCGCCAAGAGTTCGAGCAACATCGTTCGTTCTGAGTGAAATGACTCGTCCTCGCGCGTGGTCTGAAAATCTTGCAGGTACGTGATGAGCTTTGCCTTGTTCTTGGTCAGAATCGTCGACACCATCGCTGGTTTTTCAGGATTCGCAACGAATACCTTGAAGATATGGAAAGCCTCGAACTGGATGGACTTCGACTCGTCTCGTAGCAAATTCATCATGAAGCACATGTTCTCCACCTCGGCGACGTACTTGAGCATCACTTGCACGTTTGCGCTATCGAGCAGGAGCTCGCCCAGGAGCTTAAGTGATTGCCGACGCGTCACGTAGTTGCCCTTTTCCAAAAGTTCCGTATACTCCTTGAAGAATCGATCGTAATTCGCCATCAAAAACTCTGCCGCAATGTCTTTATGTCTCGTCAGCGCCTCACGAAACGTCGCCATCGCGTCGCTCGCGATCTCAAACGTCTGCAACTGCATGTACTCAAACAACTTCCAAAAACTCTCGGCGTACAAAATCTTCCGCACCAGCGTCTGATTCCTACACAGATCCCTCAGGATCGCTCCGTACGTCAGCGCGGCATCCGTTACCTCGTATCCGGTGGCGATCACTTCCAAGAGCTCCGGACTGTCGCTGAGTTCCTCCACCACGACCTCTTGGCCGTCGACCTCGGTGCGAATCAAACAGTTGAAAACCGTCGCCGCGTCCTTCCTCGTCTCGAACGGCAGGTTTCTCAGGTGCTCCACCAATTGCGTCGCGAGCGAGACCTTGGACGCCGCCTTCACCAGCGCGCGCGATTGCGTCGACACGTCCGGAGAGAGTAAGATCGTTCGCATCTCCGTCAGGTACTTCCGCACGCGCTCGAGCTGTTCCTCGTTCGCCCGGTCTCTCCGAAGCTTATCGAGCGCGTCCGTACATTTCGTCGCGAGCTCCTCGGGCGTGCGCGCGCGCTTGAACATCGCGCGCGACGGCGTCGGAAGCGTCGAGCGCCGCTGGAGACACGGCACTTTCTGACGCGGATTCTTTCGTAACGCGATGCGTCCGGTGCTCGCACCGAGAGCGCGCGGTTCCGCGGAGACGTCCCGCGCGAGCGCGCTGAATCGCGCACGGGAAGCGTCGGAGAGACAGCGATTGGCGTACCAGAGATTCCGCGAACAGACCGGGATCCGATCGAGCGGATCTGCGATGACGATCGCGAGCGAGCGCGGTGAACGACGCTCGGGCGTCGCCGCGCGCGCGTCGAGGGGCGACGGCGATGGGAACCTGTTCGTGGAATCGTTCTTCGATCTCGCGAACGTGGTCTCGGGCGGTGGCGCGGGAGAGACGCACACGCGCCTGGCCGAACGCATCGGCGAGGACGTCTACGTGCAGGTAAACGCTTGGCGCCTGTACACGCGAGATATGAAGTTCCACGACGGCTTGGCCAAGGTTTTCTCGGTGAAAATCGCTTCGAACGGAAACAAGTATGACGACGCGCTCGTCGAGGAGGTCTTGACCACCGTGCGCGTACCGCTGGGCGGGGGGAAATCTGACGTCCCGCTCGTTGACCTGTGTCCGTCAACGAGCGTCAACGCATTGAAAAACATCTTGCGCGATTACGTCGACGATCGTCTGTGATGACAGACGACGACCGATGAACTCGTATCTATGTCATCGTTCGCGACCCGTTCACGCCCGTGTAACTCTACTGTGCATTCATCACTCGCCATCCGTGTGCGCTCTCGAGCGCGCTCTAGTGTGACATCACCCTCTACGTTTTGGATAATCCCGGGTATTTTCACGAGTAAAGACTCAAGAAGTGCCCCCTATTTCGATGAATGAAAAAGACCTCGAGCCGCCCATCGACCGAACCATCGGCGTGGTCCCGCCTCGCGCGACCGTCGTCACAGCTCCGCACCCGGTCTCCCGCGCGCGCAGGTTTTCCCTTAAACCTCCACGACACTCAGACCTCTCCGAACGACACTCCCGATGTCCGCTCAAGCTTCCCGAGTCGCGTCCACGCGAACCCTGGTGAACACTGCGGCGGCGCGCAAGAACTCGCGCGCCGCGCGCTCGGCGACGCGCGCGCAAGCGCAAGCGCCGAAGCTCGACATCAACACCAAGGTGTTCGAAAAAGAACTCGTCGATGTCGCGGGCGAACAGGAATACATCGTCCGCGGTGGACGACACTTGTTCTCCAAGCTTCCGGAGGCGCTGAAGGGCATCAAGTCCATCGGCGTCATCGGGTGGGGGTCGCAGGCGCCGGCGCAGGCGCAAAACTTCCGTGATTCTCTCGCCGAGGCGGGCATGAACGATGTGACGGTGTCGATCGGTCTGCGACCGGACTCCACGTCCAACGCCGAAGCGCGGGCGTGCGGTTTCAACGAGAAGGATGGTACTCTGGGCGAGACGTTCGACGTCATCGCCAAGAGCGACTTGGTCATGTTGCTCATCTCCGACGCCGCGCAGGCAAAGATGTACCCGAGAATCTTGGCGGCGATGAAGCCGGGATCGACGCTCGGTTTGTCTCACGGCTTCTTGCTTGGTGTGATGAACTCCGAGGGGGCCAAGTTCCGCGAGGACATTAACGTCGTGCTCGTCGCGCCGAAGGGCATGGGTCCGTCTGTGCGCCGATTGTACGAACAAGGCAAGACCACGAACGGTGCCGGTATCAACGCCTCGTTCGCGGTTCACCAAGACGCGACTGGCAACGCCACGGACATCGCCCTCGGCTGGTCCGTTGCCCTTGGCTCTCCGTTCACCTTTGCGACGACGCTCGAGATGGAGTACCGCTCCGACATCTACGGTGAGCGTGGCATCTTGCTCGGCGGTGTCCACGGCATCGTCGAATCGTTGTTCCGCCGCTACACTCGCGCGGGTATGTCTGACGAAGATGCGTTCAAGAACACCGTCGAATGCATCACCGGCCCGATCACGAAGATCATCTCCACGAAGGGCATCAAGGCTGTCTACGAAGCCGTCGATGACAAGAAGACTTTCATGGAGGCTTACTCTGCGGCGTACAAGCCGTGCAAGGACATTCACTACGAGTGCTACGAGGAGGTTCAATCCACGAACGAAATCCGATCCGTCATCATGGCTGGCGATCGCTTCGACCGCTTCCCGATGGGTAAGATCGACGAGACGTACATGTGGAAGGTTGGCACTGAAGTTCGCGCCAAACGTGTCGAAAGCGAAATCCCGCTCAACTCGTTCACCGCCGGTGTGTACTGCGCGTGCATGATGTCGCAAATCGACACTCTCCGCGAGAAGGGTCACTCCTACTCCGAAGTGTGCAACGAGTCCGTCATCGAAGCAGTTGACTCTCTCAACCCGTACATGCACGCCCGTGGTGTCGCCTTCATGGTTGACAACTGCTCCTTCACCGCCCGCCTTGGCTCCCGTAAGTGGGCGCCGCGTTACGACTACATCCTTGACCAACAAGCGTACACCGCTTACGACAACAAGGTTGGTGTCGACTCCGAGCTTGAGTCCAAGTTCATGAACAACCCGGCGCACATTGCCATTGCGAAGTGCTGCGAACTCCGCCCGTCGGTCGACATCTCCGTCTCCACCCAAGGTTCGGACGGCGTCGGTGGCGCTCGCGAACAAAACAAGATGGGTTAAACAATATGTTTAAGTTGCGTTGCTGATGCGTAGGAGGGCTCTAGTCTAAATTTTTAACACAAGCTCACGGTTCGAGCTAACTTTGTCCCCATTCCCGCGCTCTCGCCTCACAATGTCCGACGACGCCGAGCGACGCGCCGACGAGATCAGCGCCCTCATCGTCATCTACGACGACGCATGCGAGGTCGTGAGCGACTCCAGGGCGCGCGTGACGCTTAAAGATGACGTCGACGACTCCAAATGTGTCGTCGAGCTGAGACTCGGCGAAAACTACCCTTCGAGCGCTGCGCTTGAGGTATGCTCGACGTCCACGGAGACGCTGACGCGTGAGGATGAGGCAAAGCTCTTGTCACGCGCGCGCGCGTGCGCAGAGGCGTGCGCGGGGGCGGAATCGGCGTACGATGTGCTCACGGAGACGGAGAGCGTTTTTCGGGAGGTGAGCGCCAACGCGCGGCGAGAAGCGCGGCGAGAAGCGGTGAAAGCAGCGAGGGCAAAGGAGGCAGTGGAAGAGGAATATCACGCGGTGGTGAAGATAGATCACATGAACGATTCGGTGGGGTACCTGAAGCTGTTGCGAAAGTTTTGCGAGTCGAGCGGTGTGGGCGCAAGAGTTTTGCACGCCGAGCCACCCGAGGGCGCGGGGAAGCGCGTCGAGGGCGTCTTCGTCGCCCTCAGCGGATCAAACGATGGAATCAAGACGTTTATATCTCGACTTCGCACCGAATTTGTCGACGTCGACGCCAAGGGCGTGAAATGTCGGGAGCGAAAAGCGACGACGCTTTGCCATCGGGCGAACAGTACGGTGAAAGTTGGCGAGCGCGCCGTAGAATCCTTCTCGGGATTCGAAACGCTCGAGCCGTACGCCACGGAGAATGATCTCGAGCAGAAACTCGCGCTCTTGAATCTATTACACGTCGGTGACGGCTCCAGCCGATTCGTCTCTACGTCGTAGCGTCGCGCAGCCGCGCGCGCTCTTGTAAAACAACAATTATTTTCATACATCCCCTCGCGCCTCATCCCGCTTCTTGGAGGCCCAAATCTTTCCACTCATCCTCTCCACTTTCCATCCCAGCCGTCTCTGCGCGTATCGCGATCGTCGCTCGTCACGTCAATCGCCCACTCGCGCGCGCGTTCAAACCTTCACATCGACAGCCGCGCGCGTCGCTCGTCCTCGCGCGCACCGTTCGCCTCCTCCGCGTCATCCACCGGCGGGGTCATCTCCGCGCGCAGCTGTACCTCTACATCGTCCGCACCGCCCGTCAGTCATCCCGCGTCATCACCGCCCGCGCGTGCGTCGTCAGCTTCCTCCACGGCGCCATTTCATCCAATCCAATCCTCCGTCACCCACCCATCATCGTTCGCGTCCACGACGCACCGTCGTCCGGTAACCGATCGTTCGCCCATTCGTCGTCGACGACGTCCGAGGCGCGCCAGCGCTCGAGCGGCGTCGCGTCGTCCATCGACGCGTCGCGCGGTGCGTCGGCGGCGGCGTCGGGCGTCGTGGGCGTCGTGCAAACACCCGCGTGTCGATCCCATTCGTCGCGACGTGGGGGCCTCGACGCCTGCGTCGATGGATGGACCGCCATCGCGCGACGCCGTCGCGCCGATCGACCCCGCGACGCGCGCGCGGACGACGACGATGCCGGACGGTCCCGGCGTCGCGGATGTGCGAGACGCCGTCGAGGCGGTGGCGCCGCGTGAGACCACGGCGCGGCGTGCGCTCCATCGCGCGCACGGGGCCTGGATGGGTGGGATGACGACGCGGACGACGACCTGGGTGAATTCGAGCGGTGCGTCGAGGGCGTACGTCGCGCACAGCGCGAGTGAGGGTACGGCGACGATGCGGTTCGCCAAGGATGTGTTCGCGGGGACGTGCGGGGGGATCACGGTGACGCTTCTGGGACACCCGTTCGACACGGTGAAGGTGCTGCTGCAGACGCAGAGCAGTAAGAATCCGGTGTACAGCGGCGCGGTGGACGCGGCGTCCAAGGTGATCAAGCAAGAGGGGTTTAAGGGGTTGTACCGTGGTGTGACGTCACCGTTGGCGGGACAGATGTTCTTCCGAGCGACGCTGTTCTTTTCCTACGCGCGGGCGAAGGAGTTCGTCGGGGTGTCGCCGGATGACCCGCTGAGCTACGCGAAGGCGGGCGCGATGGCGTGGATGGCTGGAACGTTCTTCGAGTCCCCGATCGATTTGTACAAGTCGCAGTGGCAGTGTCAGCTCATCAAGGCGAAGGCTGATCCCAAGTACGTTTCGCCGTACAATAGCGTGGTGGACGTCGTGAAGGAGTCGATTAAGCACAACGGCATTCGCGGGCCGTATCAAGCGTTCGGCGCGACGCTGACGCGGAACCTCCCGGCGGGGGCGGTGTACTTCGGCGTGTTCGAGAACGTGAAGAATCAGTTTGCCGCGATGAACGCCGATGGGAAGGCCACGAACGCTCAGATTGTTCTATCGGGCGGCATTGGCGGATTCTTTTACTGGTCGCTCTTCTATCCCATCGACGTCGTCAAGAGCGCGTTGATGACGGATGCGGTGAACCCAGCGCAGCGCAAGTTTAGCGGCTTCTTCGATGCCGCAGGCAAGTTATACGCCTCCGGCGGTGTTCGAGCCTTCTACAGAGGTCTCGTTCCGTGTCTCCTGCGCGCGTCTCCGGCCAACGCCGGCATGCTCTTCACCGTGGACTACGTTCGACGATTGATAGACTAGGAGTCGGCGAAGATGCGCGATGACGACGACATCGCACGATGATTTCCACGAAAACCTAATATCTGAAGAGCGATAGACTCTGTGTAATGCCATTGCTTCACGAAAACGTCTCCATCGTCCGCCCGTCGCCCTGAACGCCTCGCGCGCGCGTCCCGCTCACGCCGCGTCGTCCGCACACCTCGGCGTCTCTCTAGGTTTCACACGCCATGTCGCAGTACGAGGAGGAACAGGCGATGGAAATCGAAGCCCTGGAGAGCATCTTCATGGATGACATGAAGAGACTTCCCGAGAACTCGGGCGATGGGATTGCGCACGCGAGCTCGTCGTGCTACCAGGTTGAGATAAGCGCCTACGGTGAGAACGATAGCGAGCCGGAGGAGGGAAAGGAGCGGGACGACGCTGTGCTGGGTTTAGTTTTCGCGCACACGGAGCGGTACCCGGACGAGCCGCCGCTTCTGAAGTGTCGAAGCGTCCGCGGCTTGCGAGAGGGCGAGCTCGGGGAGATTAGCGCGTTAGTACTCGAACAGAGCGAGACGTCGGTCGGGCAGGCTATGATATTCGACCTGACGCAGACGTGTAAGGATTGGATGCGTCGACGCGCCGGGGCGAGCGATTTCGTCGACGAGGAAACCGAGGAGGAACTCCGTGCGCGCCTGGAGCACGAGGCCGAGGAGCGCCTGCGCCAGATGCGCATAAACGGAACCCCGGTGACGATAGAAAATTTCAAATCTTGGCAGCTCGCCTTCATAAAAGAGCGCGGGGAGTCGTTCAATCCCGGACGAGTCCGTGACGCCGACGAGTTGACCGGGCGCCAATATTTTGAGAGCGCGAGAAAATCCGGCAAGGACGTCGAAGCCGACGGCGGCGACGGCAGCGAAGGCGATTTCGAACCCGACACCGATTCCTCCGAGGACGATTTCGCCGATTCCGACTCCGACGTGTCCTCCGTCGACGCCGACGCGTAACCTCTCGCGCGCTCTCGGCCGGCGCCGACGCGTGACCTTTCGCGCGCTCGAGGCGTTCGATTCGCCGACTAGGATAAGTGTAAGCGTGAAAACATTCAAAACTTCAGAGTGCCGCGACGGATCGCGCGCGCCGCGCGCGCCCGTCCGGGCTCGGACGCATCGCGTCTCTCGATCTCGAGCGATGGGCGATTACGTCGAGCTCGAGCGCGATGAAGAGCACGCGTCGCTCGTCGAAGATGCCCAGCCGAGTCACTACCCGACCGACTCGTCGACGTCGTACGAGCAGTTCGACGTCGATGATTTGGAGGTCGTGGACGCGACCCCAGAGGCTGTGGACGCGCGCTTGACGCGAGCGAGCGTTCGAACGATCGCGCTGAACACGTGGCTGTACATGGCAACGCCTATGAGCATGCCGGCGACGGTGGCGCACGCCGGGGCGACGTGGACCGGAGTGTTCTTCACGTACAGCGCGATGAGCACGTATTGGACGGGACGGGTTCTGGGATGGGCGTTTTTGGCGGACCCTACGTGCACGACGTACGCGAAGATGACGAGTAAGGCGGTGGCGAGGCTCATCGTTCGCCGAGGCGGCGACGAGGGCATCGCGAGCCGATGGGAGCCGCGAGTGGAGATGGCGACGCTTTGTCTGCAGTTTGTGACGTATTATCTCGACGCGACGGTGCAGATCGTGTACATCGCGCAGTATTTTGGGCAGACGTTCACGGGGTGGAAGATGTGTGGGGCGAGCTGGGCGTTCTTCATCGGAGCACTGTCGCTGCCGATTGTGCAAATCCCGACCATACACGACTCCGGAAAGGTCGTGCTTCTGCCGTGTGCGAGCGTCATTATAACGCTCTCGGTGTTTTTCGGGGAGATATTCTCCACACGTCCATGGGAGAAGTGCGATCCTGGGCCGACGTACGGGAAGATCGTGACGAGTGGAACGATTTTCAGCTCGCTCGGAAATTTTGCCTACGGCTTCGGCGGGCACGGTCTGTATCCAGAGGAGCTGCGCGAGATGAAAAACCCCGAGGATTGGGCCAAGGTGTTGAACTTGACGTACGGCACAATGGTTCCAATATACGTTCTCGTCATGTATTTTGGGTACAAGGCGTACGGGGACTTCGCCAAGGGGAATATCAACTTGAACTTTCCAAAAAATGCGGCGAACATCGTGTCCATGATGATGCAATCCGTGCAGTGCTACTACGGTGTGTTCTTCACCAATATTGCGTTAATGATGCGCATCGAGACGTCGCTTGGAGTGGATCCAACGCAAGCCTGGACAGTCGTCACCAAGTACGGCGTGACACCTCAGGTGTTTCGCTTTGTTTTTCGCACGGCCTTTTTGGCCACCGAGGTGCTCATCGCCGCAATTTTCCTCGCCGTGTCGGGAGACGTCATTCTCGATTTACAATCGCTCGTGGGAGCGATTGGTATGACGGCAATGACATTCTTCCTTCCTTCGATCATTCATTACGCGTTCAACATGAACGAGAGGTCATCCATTGCCGAGCGCATGTGGGTGGTGACGAACTTCATCATGGGCCTCTTTATCATGTTCTCCGGTTTGTACGGTTCGCTCGATCGCTTGTTCGGCAGCAAGTACGAGAATCAGTGCCCAGCGCGATACGTGTACTCACCCGCGGACCCAGCCGACCCGTGCTACGTGAGCGGTATTCGATATTGAGAATATTGAGATTGTCTGTACTAAAAACACGCTATGAACCTAGTAGTCGTCGTCCTCCGAGGCGTCCAAAATAACCTTCGCCGACGCCGCGTATTGAAGCCTCGCCGCGGCGATGCACTTCATCAAAATATCCTCCGTCGCCTCCACCTCACCGCCGTTTTTAAACACCCCTCGAATCATCCCGTCCTCTGTGAGCACGACGCTCACCTCGCACTCGCTCAGCGCCTCCTCGGCGTGAGTCGGGTCCACAAGCAAGTGCTCTTTATACAACGCCGTCGTCAGGCACACCGGCGTCGTGCGAACGTTTAACGGCGTCCCCTTTCGCATCCCATCATCCGCTCCGTCTACTCCTTCCTCTTCATCGCCGATCACAATCTTCCCGCGTTTCACCGTCGCCTCTGGCAGAACCACGTCCCTCAGCGCCGCCACCGCCGCGCTCAGCGCCGCATCCGCCGCCGCCCCGTCGTCGTCCAACACCACGACGTCCAGCATCAACCGCCACGCGAAAACTCCTCTCTCGATGCACAGATCGCTCAGATCGCTCCCCAAGACCTCCGCGCTCGTCAGCGCGTCCCGCACGCGCGCCGCGCACGCCTCCGCCTTGTCGCTCTCCCGCCCCGGTCGTTCCAGCTCGCTCGCCTGCGGCGCGAACGTCACGCGGACCTCTAAGAACCCCTCGTTCGGTGCCTCCGCCCTGGGCGTCGCCACGCTCGCTCGCGCTCCCGCGAGCGCGGTCGTCGCCCCGTGTCTCGCGAGCGCCGACCCGAGCGCGTTCGTCGCCGTCCCGCACGCGCACGCCCGCGCGCGCGCGCGCCCGAGCGGTCGGCCGTCCCTCCGAGTCGACGTCTCGAGCGTCTTCTCGAACGCCTCGTCGGGGTAGAGACGCTCGTACGCGCGCGCCTCCATGGTTGAGGGGAACTTTGCGGGGCGTCGGCGAGTGCGGCTGGAATTCGTTCGATTCGTCGACATCACGCGACGCGCGACGAGATCGGTGACGTGAACGCGGGATAGAATCGTGCTGTGAATTACGCGGCGTCGATATGTACGCTCGGAGCGAACATCTGATGAGTAACGACGCGTCGACGCCCGATGGGAGATCGCCCGCGCATCGCGCGCAAGGTGGGTTCGCGAACTCTTTCGCGTCGCCGCGCGCTCAATCCGACGGAAGATGGCTCGAGAGCGAGAACGGACGATCTATGGATGGTGGGGCGTCGTTGAGGAGCGCGAATGGTGGGCGAAACGCCGATGGGACGCCGCGAGCGCAAAAGTTTTCCTCTTTGCTCTTCGCGTCGCCCAACCGGGACGCGCAGCAGGGCGCCGGGTTGTATCGAACGGAGAGCCTGACCGGGGGTGGGAACTCCACGCCGAGAACGAGCGGAGGGACGAATCGGTACTTTGGCGGCGGGGCGGGGGCGAGCGTGAATCGGGGGAAGTTGGAGGAGCGCGCGACGCCGACGCCGGCGCCGGTGATCGGCGGCGCGAGCGCGCGAGGGACGCCGCTTTTCACGCGAACGGAGACGGGTGGTGGGGACGATCACACCCCTGGATTCTTGCGAAGAGCTATCGAGAAGACGCAGGCAGAGAACGCTCGAGGGAGCGACGCGCGCGCTGGGGAGGAGGCGGTGAGCGCGTGGTTGGGTTCAAACGCGACAAAGTCGAGCGCTCCATCGACGACCAACGCCGCATTCACAGCGAGCGCGGCGCTGAATGACGCAGAGGCCGAGCACTGGGTCACCGTGTACGGTTTCTCGAAGGATGAGAAGTCAATCGTCCTCCGCGAGTTCCAACGCGACGGTGATATTGTCAACTTTGGCTCGTTTGACGAGAGCGGGCGAGGGGTGAACTGGCTCCACGTCAGGTTCGCGGCCAAAGAGAGCGCCCGTCGCGCGCTGCGCAGGAACGGTCAAAACATTAGCGGAATCATGGTCGGCGTCAAGGAGTTGGATGCCAAGGCGAAGATGGACATCGGTTCGGGCGCGTCCGGGGAGGGTCGTTTGTCGCGAAACTCCTCGGTTCGCCGCGTGGCGCCGATTCGCGATGGCGTCGCGCTTCAACAGCGCCAGCGAACGACGTGGGACAAGGTCTTGCAGTTCGTCTTCGGCGCGTGATAGAATACATTTGGAATGAGAAGATAAACGAATTCAAACTATCGACAACGATATTGATTACACAAGATCCTCCGGCTTGAGCCTGCCCATCGCAAGGAGTTTGTCTATGGCGAGTTGCGCGGTGACGACCGATGGCATCATCATCTCCCCGCTGTACATGAGCTTCTTCAGCTCCCGCACCGTCACCCGCTCGTGTGTCATGTTGAACTCCTCATCGTCCCTCCCGCACTCCTCTCCGTCTCCGCACGCGACGCCGTCGACGCTCAGAAACGGAAACAACCTGTTCCGACACCACTTCGTCTCTAAAAGACCCGGATTGTCCCGCTCGATCAGCCGAAACAGCTCCCCCCCCGCGATCCGGCTCTCCTGCCTCAACTCGTCTACAGCCACCTCCTCCATCGTCGCGTGCTTTCCCGGTTCATAACATCCGCTAGGCAACACCACGCACTCCGCGTTGCTCCCTTGCGCGTACTCTCGCACCACCGTGAACTCCGGCTCCCCGCTCGACGTCACCTCTCGGTCGTGAAACGGCGCGACGCACACGAACGCGAACGCGCTCTTCGGATGTCCCACGACGTCGTACGCGAACCGCTTCGTCGTCGAACCGTCGTCGCTTTGAAACTCAACCAAGCGATCGTACACGGTGAAGTACCGCTCGTGCACCACCGTCTCGCGCACGATCTCACCGTCTCGCAGCGCCGCGCGGTGTTCCGACGCGCTCGAACGCATCGCGCGCGCGCTCGGGCAAGAGCCGGGAGGACGCACGCGCGCGGAGACGAGCGTGCGCGCGGCGATGCGCATGGGAATGAGGACGGTCGCGACGAGTCACTGCAGTTTGCGACGCGTCGTGAGACTCGTCCGCGCGCGCGTTTCGCGTCGCGCGCCCGTCGAAGCGTCGCGGCGAAGATGATCGCCCGTAACAGAGCGCTCGGTGGGGTTTTACAGCGCGGTGTCGACGCGATCAAGGGCGGAGAAGCGGTCGAGGGATCGCTCGTGCGCGTTTTCGCTCGCGCGCTCGGCGCCAAGGCGCCCGTGAGCGCGACGGTGCACCAGCCGATCCAGACGAAGCGTCCGGGGAAGCTGGACGGGGACGTCGGACACACGGCGAAGTGGCTGGACTCCACTGCGAAGCCGAGTCCGATGGAGTACAGCGCGGCCGCGGAGCCGATCGGCGTGGCGGGAGACAAGGTGAGCTGCGACTCCCCTGGGGCGTGTAAGGATCGATTCGGCGTCGGGGAGGGAGGCCTGGGGGCGCCGCATACGTATTATAAGCTGAACGATACGTCGAAAGAGTTCCCGGCGAAGTGCAAGTACTGCGGCTTGCGCTTTTACACGCTCGGCGGCGGACACTAGGGTGAGGTTTGATGTAAAGCGGAGCAATGTCTTTTGTGTATATTTCGAATTGTTCATTTGTCGCTCGTCGCTCGTTCGTCATCGCGTGCCGCGCGCTCGCTGCTCGGCTTGGATGCAGTGTTCGATTGAGCCCGGGTCGGCGAGCGCGGAGACGTCGCCCAAATCCTCGATGTTTCCGGCGGCTATTTTCTTCAAGATTCGGCGCATGATCTTTCCGCTTCGCGTTTTCGGGAGGTTTTTGACGACTATGACTCGTTCGGGGGCGGCGAAAGGGCCGATTTCAGCGCGAACCTTGAAGACGAGTTCTTGCTCGGGATATTGCGTCGCCTCCTTCTTGCGCAGAGGATCTAAAATCACGAACGCGACTATCGTTTCGCCCTTGATCTCGTGTCCGATCGATACCACGGCGGCTTCGATGCAGAGTGGGTGTTGAACCAAAGCTGACTCGACTTCTGCGGTCCCTATTCGATGTCCACTCACGTTCATGACGTCGTCCAATCGACCGGTGACGTACAAGTAGCCGTCAGCGTCTCGACGCGCGCCATCGCCCGACGCATAGTAACCGCCCTCGAAGACTTTGAAGTAAGAGTTCTCGTATCGTTCGTGCGCGCCGTGCACGTCCATGAAAATCCCGGGCCACGGACGTTTGATGCAAAGCGAACCTTCACCTTCCCCATCGATTTCATGCCCGTCGACAGGATCGAGCAAAACGGGCTCGACGCCGAAGAACGGAAACGTCGCGCTCGATGGCTTGAGCGGCGTCGCACCGGGAAGCGGCGTGATGATATGTCCACCGGTTTCGGTTTGCCACCACGTGTCGACTATCGGAAGCTTTTTGTCGCCGATGATTTCATGATACCACAGCCACGTTTCTTTCGCGATCGGCTCGCCTACAGTGCCTAGGATTCTCAACGTCGCACGAGAGCTTTTGTGCACCGGAGCGTCACCGAAGCCCTGTAAAGTTCTAAGAGCTGTGGGAGACGTGTAGAAGATCGTCACGCGATGTTTGTCCACGATGTTCCACCATATCTCGGCGTTTGGATACGTTGGCGTTCCCTCGAACAACACAGTGGCGCAGCCATTCAAGAGAGGTCCATAAAGTGTGTACGAATGACCCGTTATCCAACCGAGATCGGCGGTGCAGAACACGATGTCTTCCCCAGGATGAAGATCGAAGACGAATTTGCTCGTCGCGTACGCATAGACAAGATACCCGCCGAGCGCATGTACAACTCCTTTCGGCTTTCCGGTGGAGCCTGACGTGTACAGAATGAAAGCGGGATCGAGACTGTCGATGAACTCCATGGGATCCGGTTTTTCATCCATTCGATACTGCGAGATATCATCGTCCCACCACAAATCGCGCTGTGGATTGAACGGCACGTCATCAATGTTGAGAAACGGAGTATCATCAATTCTGGTGTCGGCGTTACCTTTCACCACAACTCGATCGGGAGAGAACCCATCATTTTGCATGCAAATCTCGAGCGCTTCGTCCACGATCTTTTTTAGAGGTATTATCTTTTTTCCACGGCGAGAAGCGCTCGCGGTGATGATCATTTTCGCTTGGCAATCGACGACGCGTTGGGCGAGTGATTTGGCAGAGTAACCCGCGAAAACGATTGAATGAACGGCACCGATCCTCGCGCACGCAAGCATGGCGATCGGCATCATCGGGATCATCGGAAGATACATGATGACCCTATCGCCTTTTCCGATGCCCTGAGCGACTAAAAATTTGCTGAAAGTTGAGACCTCTTCGCGGAGCTCGTTAAAGGTAAAGATTCTCGAGTTGACGGCGTCGTTAGCCTCAAAGATTAAAGCCGGAGAATCCCCCAGACCTCGTTCGATCTGGAGGTCTAAGCAATTGAACGACATGTTGGTTCGCCCACCCGCGAACCACTTGACGTAAACCTCCCCTTTGCTCGGATCGAAATTCCACTCTAAGACTTCCTCGGGCTTATCGACGCCGTCAAACGCGGTTTCCCAACGAAGCTCCCCCGCGATCTCGCTCCAGAACATCTCCGGCTCCTTGATCGACCGATTATACATCGATCGATACTGTTCCATCGATCCAACGTGCGCACGAGCCGCCAATTCCATCGGCGGTTCGATCGCGTCTCCATTCGTCCCGCGCGCGCGCCCTCTCCGTCCCGGGCTCACCGCGTGATTCCGCGGCACGTCGATCGACGACGACCTCGACTTCGCCCCCCCGTCGTCCCCTCCCGTCGCTCGCGTCACGACGTTCCCGCTCGTTTTCCCGCGTCGCCGCGTCGTCGTCACCGCGCGCGTCGTCGTCGTCGTCGCGCGCATCTTTCCCGTCCTCGCCTCGTCCTCGACGGTTCGTCTTCCACGATCGATCGATCGATCGATCGATCGATCGAT